AGGCTGGCTTAGTGCCCGAACTCGTACTAAGACCCGGGATATTAATTACAACTCGATGCAGGTGGCTCTCAAAACAGAAGCGAAGAAATGTGAAAGAGAAAAACTGGCTTCCACTCCACGTAAGTTTCGCTACCCTCAGGCTCCTCCGGCGTTCAAACCTCGTAACGCCGTTAGCTTGATCTCGAGAAGTCAAAGGACTAGTACTAGCCAAGTTAGGTTCTTCGGGGGTTCAATGCTAGCTTTAGGGGCCCAGAGGAATGAGCGAGGAGATGGGTGGCGGCAGGAGGAATAAGGTCGTAGCTCCGTCGCAAAGAGGGGGGGGAGGAGTTCGCTAGTTCCCAAAAAAAAAATGCATTAGGCATGGGCATATGTGTCAAAAAGATAAAAATACTCATATCCCTAAGATGCCAGTGATTCGCCGCCGCCACAAATTTATATAAAAAAATTCTTGGGGCTGATGTTTTTCCGTTCGAGTTTGGATATAGTGTTCGAACATTCATCGAACGGCTTCTATCGAAACTACAGCCTCTTGGTACAAAAGTTCCTTGTCGCGAGCTAAAAAGGACAGTAAAATTGATATCTGGGATCTCAGGCCCCAATGACGTTGATGATTTAGTCTTGCTCCGCTCTGAAACTAGTAACCATGACGGAAATTGCAAAGAAAAAATTTTTTTGTGTAGATTGAGACAATGATCACGGCATTGTACATGGAAGGAACTGGTGGCAGAGAGGGCAAGGTTCTACCTACTGAATGGAAGGCCTGTGAGCTGTCGATTAAGAACAAATGGGAGGGATGGGATCGTAAATTTTATAGGTCTGCAGGGTACTAGGGTATAGGGAGGAATTGAAAAACCAAGGCTGATGGGCACCGGCGGAGGGAGTTAGCCTTATGCTAATACGGACGCGATCCAGTGGTAGCTTACTTGATCGAATCATGATTCATTGGGAGAAGGGTACTAGTACTAGACCATACCGGCGTCGCGCTGTCTTGGGAGAACGCGTCTGTGGTACGAGGGAAAGTCGGAACAGCCGCTCGTCCCGGCGAGCGCTCAAATCGAGAACCCTCTGGACTTGAGCTTCAAGAAGGTATGTAGATCAAGTCAGATGATGACAGAGAAACGTCAGCTGCGGAGATTGATGATGACGATGATACGAGGATTTTGACCAAATTAAAAAGTTCCGGGAAATGACAGTGGGTCGTCCAGTGGGTCTTGATCTTCTCCCGCTTGTCGTCGTAGTGCAGTTGAAAGCTAAGTTTAAAGCTGCTACAAATGGTTGGCCATGAGTGAGGTGGTGCCGTGGTCTCCTGCTTGACATGAGTAACGAGGTCCGTTCTTTCTCTTGTAGATGGATATAAACCTTTGACAGTTGGACGTTCGACTGCACCAGATCCCACTGTCATTTGGCCCCGCCTTTTCGATGCAGAACCCTAAGAAGATTTCAGACTGAGAAATGAAAGGAGAGTTTGACATAGGACTTTGACTGGTGCCATCCTCACGAGTTACGGGTGTACGCAGCCCCAGCCCGCCGTCTGACTGGAAGCATTACATTTATGACAAGGTTTGGTTTTGACCCGCCGAGCGTTTTGAATATAGGCGTAGATACTGTTCTGGCGACCGAGCGCAGTCAGCTCTGTGTCTTATCGCGTGAAATCTGCTGTTTTTTTTTTTTTGCAAGTCCAATCGGTCCGCTTAGAAATCGATATGACGAGGCGGCCTTGCGAATCGCGATCACTTGACTTGCCGTTGGGATCCCCCTTGTGGAAGATTTGTTGACATGTCATGTCAAAGCTCGTGCCAACCTCGCGTATAACATAAAACATGTTGTGCCAACTGTCGATCACTTGTTGTCGATAGGAGAAATCAACGTGACCCTGACAGGACCTTTTTTTCGGAGAAGTCGAGTGGAAAGTTGAGTAAAGGGTTGTTCCTCGGATATGGGTGTGATCTTCAGCTCGGGGTTGAAGCCGGGCCCGACTTGAAGATGTAGAGCACCCGAGTGGCGAGGGATGCGATCAGTTGCGCAACTTCGGTTCGATTAGTTCCGAACTTCCCAGCACGCTCATCGAGCTATACGAATGAGTCACCGAGCCTAGAGTCATCGAGAAAGGGGTTCATGTTCAGCTACCGACTGAGTGGCTCATACAAGAAATTCACAATGCTCGCAAGCAAACCCTCCAGGCCCGCAGATAACACTAGTCAGCGGGCGGCAGCTCGTCGGAAATTTGTGGGTTGCGGCCTTGAAAACGTTGTGGCGTATATAAAGTCAAAAAAAAAAAAAAAATTGAGGTTCTGTCCTGAAGCTCACAGGCTAGTCGGTTTACGTGCTTAATTGTCACGAATTTATAAAGTTGCTTGTCAAGCGGGGTAGTCGATAGCGTACCCAAATTTTTCGTAGTGGCGTGTGCCATCATAATACGGGATAACTTCTGTCAAGTCTAATTTGGTGTTAGGCGAAGTAACGGCAAGGTACGGGACGGCCACCTGTCCTCTCTCTGTCTTTTTCGACAAATATAGTTGTCCACGTGTGGGCACTCATGTGCATGAGCGCTGGGCTGTCATTTCTTTTGAATAGAAGAACGACCGAGTAGTAGAGATCTAGCAATATTGGGCAAGTCCAGAGCGTTTATAGTGAAACTTGAGGGGTGGTTTTTTGGATTATTAATTCAACACAAACCGAAGAACGGGACGATGGAGGGTTTATACCAAAACCTCGCCTCGATATGTCATTCAGTTAATTTAAAATCGGCGACGTTATAGAATTTTTCACTAACAAACGAACACAGTTTTCTGCCCTTCCATTACGGCAAGGAGGAGTTCCGATCGAGACGCGGAACTGGGACAATGCAATTGAGAGGGCTGCAGACAATTGTGGACATGCAGCACGCAATAATCTGTCACTGCCAGTTATTGTCCAAAGTACTGTCAGTAAGACGGTGCCTACCATGTGAGAAAATTGGCCTTCCTAATCGGCTGCCCAAAACGATAACGTTGGGTATGGGGGGGGAAATCGAATCACAGAACATACATGAAACATCGACGCTAGCGGGCGCGACAAGTTTGGGAGCCGGTTTTCAAGTCAATGACGACGGCAAAGTCACCCCCACAAATTTACCAGGAACGTCGGGCATTCCAAAATTGCGATACTTATGTACCGCCAATGGTAATGGTTGAACCCCGGATGAACGGAACTATGTCAATGGGAACCTGAGTAGGGTTTTGTCAAGGCGAGAGGGGTCTTGAGGTTTTCTGGAATTTCCTACAATTAATAGGACGATCAATAGGCCGTTTGATAGTTTTGGAAGCCGGACGGATCGAATGCTCTCCGTCCGTGGATTGAAGGGGCGTAAAAGGGTAAATTGAAAAAAAATAATCGTGTGGTTCTGAATTGTGGTAGAATCGATTGTGGGTTTGAAACGGGCAAGGTCGCCATCCGACTTACCACTTGGCGGCTGTCGGAAAAGTGACGGTGGACAGTGTGTGTCAATATCTAGCCATAGAAGGACGGGAGCGACGCCGATTAAAAAACTGAGTAGATGCTGTCAACGGGGGGTGCTAAGAAACCCGGAGTTTTCTGACAACATGGATTCAAACATACAGTCGTTCTCCTCGAAAATTTATGACCACAAAGTTCGAGGGACCATCGACGAGGGTTTGGCGGTGATATGACGCAGCTACCAGGTCTCGATATTACGCTGGATGGTACCGGGAAGACCTCGAGAACCCGTCGATATATTTATATCCCCGACTCGGATGCATGTACCCTCTACCTGTGAAGCACTGATCGATTGAGTTTATTACGAGAAAGAACTTGAAGCAGGATCAGAGTCATAAAAATTCGCCTTTTGAATATTGTCCATACCTGCGCTCTTTTGTTTCCTAATAACTCCAACAAAATAGGAGTGAATTTCAATGCCGTTACACCGCACAATTAAACGCCTTCTTCTGCGGCAATTCATTCTTTTCAATCGGCCGCTGGGAACAGGACGTGTGGAAAGGCAGAACAGGAAAGTTGTCGGTATGTTCAGATCATGACTCTCAAGGGCATATGGTGCCCAGAGAACCCACAGGACCCTGATCTGGATCCCTTTTGCTGTCCTTAGCCCCTCCTTGTCCAGAAGTTTCCTAGTGTCCTACACCAGTTCTCGACAGCATGGAGCCCCCGCAAGTTTAACCCCCTTCACGGGAAAAAATGTGAGTGAATGATGACCGTGTGAGCGAGAAATGAAACTACTCCATGAGGGCTATAAAGAATGAGAAATAGAAATGTTTGGCCATGGGTAGAGATGGGTAGGCTAAGTTTAGTAGGTATAGGTCAAACTTAGCAATCAACTTGAACGATCAACGTGAACGGCCTGGCGATTGTCGGGTTCATGAGAGAAATTCCCGAGAAAAAACCAGTCCATTCGCTAGACTCGACGGCTTTCTGTGGCAAGTTGAGCTTTTTGGCATTGGAGGATTTGAGCAGATCTTGTTGATTAGACTATGATTGGGTTGAAGGCCTGACAAAAACGTGAACTAGAGTACGTGACTGCATTTGACATTTACTGTCTTGACAAGGAAAATCTGAGAAAATACCACTTGAGGGCCAAAATCTCGGAGAGCGTCGAGGATTCGGTCCCCGATCCCAGGGGCTTTAGTTCAGAGTGCTCGGGATTGACTGCAAGATGTTGGAGAATTGTTCTATCTCCCAGGATGGCCATGACCCATCGTGCATGAGGAAGGAACGAGTCGTCACGCGTAACGTGCTCCCCAGCTGCAGTGCTGCGGACTCAATTCAAGTCCGGTGGGTTCGATCCCCAACTTGGGTTCTCTGTCGAGGAGACCTGCCTGCCTTCATCAGTAGCTAACAAATGAAGTTCGCCTCGCGCCGCAGGTGACGCTTGGATTTGGAGTTCTGAGAGCTATCTACTAAAATTCGATCCTTCCCCCGTCTTCCTTTATTCTTCCATCCTTTTTCTCCGCCGTCCGTCGACCTCTTCTTGCAAAAAAAGCCCAAAAAACCCAAGATGGGGATCGAACCCACAACCTTTGCCTTACGTAATCATAGGAAAGCAACGCACTACCATTGTGCTACTTGGGCGACAGTAAATAGACAAGCAATTGTCAATTGAACGGCTCTAACCAACGGGACGATTGTCCCACTCGGTAATTCCGCGCAATCCCCCTCACGCCCTGACATCCACAACGATTATTCCAATTCCGTCCCTTCCCTCCTTAGCACTCTTCGTGCTTATCACCTTCCTCACCTACATCTTCAAACCCAAGTTTGAAAGACTCATGTCAACAGATGCCAATATCGCTCAATTCTGTGCTATTACCGGTGCGAGGTGTGTTTCTTTCCTGGTCGCTATCGATTTGACTTATCAGCCACGCTTTCCCTTCCTCAACCCTTTTTTTTTTTCCTGCACCTTAATTCAGCCATCGAGACGCAAAACGGTTTTTAGACAAATATAGAAAAGTTGATGTTGCCATCGATGCGTATTTCGAAAACCCTACACCACCGGCAACGACTTCGAGAGCCAACAGTAGTTCTCAGCCATCGACGAGCAAGTTGAATGCCCTTTTTGATAAGTACAAGGGTACGTTTGTTTGCTGTGTATTGATTGTTGATCCCTGATTTGATGTTTTGACAGCCCCAGATGAGCAGGACATCACAACAGATGGAACAATCAAGTTTTGTGAAGATCTGGGTGTTGACCCTGAAGATGTCGTGTTATTGGTCGTCGCATATGAGCTTAAATCGACCAAAATGGCGGAATGGAATAAGAAAGGCTGGACAGAGGGATGGAAAGCTCTTGGGTATACCTCCTTTTTTCGAGTTCTTGTTGTCAGTTCTGACAGGGTCCTCACAGATGCGATTCGATATCAGCAATGCAAGCAGCCCTACCGAGACTGCGCAATAAACTCGGTTCTGACCGGGCGTACTTTCGAAAAGTCTACCTCCACGCGTTTGAATTTGCTAGAGCAGAGGGGCAAAGAAGTCTCCGTGAGTCTCCCTTTCCCTCTTCTTTGCGACTCTTTGTCAACTCATACGTTCCAACCACCGACAGCCATCGACTCCGCGCAAGGATTTTGGGCCCTCCTCCTCCCCCACGGTCTATCAGGCGGCGCCTTAGCCCGTATACCCACCCTAACGCACAACCGAGACAAAGACGGCGATGTCTCTATGGGGATGGCGTCGTCGGAGGGGTGGAAAGAAGAATACACCACTTGGTGGTTTGAGTATCTGACAGAGAAAAAGACGAAGGGGGTCAGTAGGGATACGTGGTCTATGGTTCGTTTTTTTTTTTTTTTTCGTTCTGAAGGGTTTCATGAATTACACCTCTCAATTGTTTGAAACAGTTTCTGGATTTCGTCACCACCATCGATTCAAAATTCGAAACCTACAATGCGGAAGAAGAAGCTTGGCCGTCTCTCATAGACGAATTCGTAGAGTACGCGAGGGCGAAGATTCAGAATGAGCAGTAGTGCAGATGAAGCCGATTTACGCCCGGATCAGGTGGATGGTGCTTGGGTGGAGCAGCATACTATAGTGGTCGAGGTTCTGGATCAGGAAGAGATTTCGAGATCCTGAGAACCAGGGGAGTGACTGCCGATTCTGAGCGGGGAACCGCTAGCGAAGGAGAGGGAAGAACGTATTGTCAAGCACAATGTATGTATCGCTATCGAGTGTTATAATATATAACTTTGTTTTATATTTTTTTGTTTCTATTTTCCGGTGTTGTCAACTTGCCCCTCGCACCGACCAAGCAACGATTTTATTTTATTTTTTAAATTTCCGCAGGAGTTTTGGATCACCACCTGTACTGCGAGAGTGGAGAGCCCTCAGTTTTTCGCTTTGACGGCTTTGGATAGGCACGCCTACTCCATTGGTTAACCTACTATCCTGCTTCCGTGCTCCATCTCTCGGGCTCCAGGGCTCGATGGAGCGCGATTCCGAAAGTCATTTCTCTTTGCCCGTTCCTCGTGATAGCATATTTCTCGTTGTGCATCGTAATGTAAACCTCAAACTCTTGCACATCTTGTGAGTGTGCAGGGTGGTTCTCTCGGGAAGGCACCGGGAGGATTTGACACGCAAAGACAGAAAGTAACCTGTATATCGGGATCGGGATATAAACGGGTCACAAGGAGAGAGACCTCTGGTACTCCTACAAAAGGTGTATTTTACCATCCGCTTCGCGTAGACTCTGTCACCTTATCACAAGTTGAATGCCGCGTTTATCGTCAATTCCGAGATTTCCTTCTGGATAAATGGGGAGCGTTTTTTTTCAGAAAGACACGAGAATAACCAAGAAAGAGTGAGTTTACGCACGGGAGTTGGGGCTCTGTGTCACCAAAAGAATCCCTCTAGCAGAGTAACACGAGAAACTTTCGCGAGCTGCACCGTTTAGAAAATGACCGCTGCAAAGACCCAACCGAACGAGCGCGATATCGGATCAATCCTCAAAATTGAACCCGTGTAGACAAAAGCGAAGGTAAAAAAGCGGTCTCCTTCACCACTCGGATGTTCAGTGAATGAACCGTCAGAGATGCCATTATCGCTTTTACATCGCTGTCATTTTTTTTAAATCAAACCAGAGAGTGTACGGTCAGTTTTGATGAAAGAAACAGGGACAAAACGCCCCTCCCCCCTCTAAGAAAAAAAAGAACGTACGCAGCATCGACACGGACGACGGCTTCACTTCCGCCCTCTTTGAGTGATAAGATGTCCACGTAAATTGAGCCTAAAGTGACTCCAAAAGACTGGATGAGACTTTCGTGGATAGTTTGGCGAATTTTTAGTTCGGAATTTGGGGGTAGTGGGGGAGAGAAGGAGAGAAGGAGATAGTGGTATCTGGACATGATAGTTGAGAGTCAGACGCAGGAACGTTGTGATTAGATGAGACAGCATATCTTATCTTATCACAATGGCCGAGGGCTGCTCTCAGATCTCAGGCTTGTTCCCTCCTTAGCGCCTCGAACGTCTTTCCGGGAATCTCGCGACTAGCGGGACTGTGCAGTCACTGCGGTGTGGAAGATAGCGAAGCATGGACTCACATTGGTACGTACGCAGCCGCTGGTCTTCTCAACCAAGAAATGGTCTCTGCCTCAATTTTGATCGAAACGAGGACTAGCAAGAACGACGTGAGGACACAGAGCAAACCTACGGTTTCTGGGTCGTGGTTCGGGTGATTTAACAGGAACTATCAATGGTACCACCGGACTCTGGAGATATTGTCTCTTTCTGGTGCAGAAACTCTGCCTATTAAATTATAGTCATCCCAGGTTTACGAGGAACCCGGCACAACGAACCAACCGTGCAACTAACAAGGAATCCTTCAAGTCCATGTCCTCAATATCATCCACTCACAGTCCCGCTTGTGCTCATCGCGTTCGAATCCGTACCACCTGCGAACGCGTCCGATGGATTCATCACCCTTGTGGCCAAGAAAAACATTAAAGAATTTATCATTGTCTCGGTTCTTTGGGTCTGACTTGGAAGGGTCCTCGTAAGCTGCCTCTTGCTTGTCGCTTCTCGTCAAGATGAATGAAAGGGATTGGGGATCTTGCTTCGTCCTTGCCAAGGGTCTATCTTTGTTCGATATATCAGCTCTGCACCATCAAGCTGAGAACGGCGGCATCCTTTTCGTTGTTTTTTCTCTTTCAATCCATGTCTTTCAAATTGTCCGGTAGCTGTTTGAACCTTGAGGGTTGAGTGGATTATACGCGGTTTCGATTTCAACTTTGAGTGCGTCTATATGATGTCAGTCTTTTCTTTTCTAGCTAAATCTCTGATGTTTGCCGTTTCAGCTGTTAATCGTTCACGATAGTTCATAACAGAACCAAGCCATCGTCCCAGAAACCTAAGAGAGAGACATCGACAAAAGGCTGGTGCTTTTGACCCGTCGAAATTCAGCAAACAAGTCTCCACAGCGAGGCTGTCAGTCTACCACGAATTGAAGGTCGCGTATTCATCTCAGTGTAGGAACGAGTGGGGGTCTGGACTCTCGAGCGGATTTAGGAAAGGTTATGTGTTGCACTGAGTGCGGAGTGAAGAGGTTGGAGGTGAACGTTTGAAGTCCAATTCGAAGTCTGTCAGAGTATCATTCTCAAGGGCTAGGTGGTTTCTATACTGAAGTTTTTCCGAAGTTCAGAGTACTACCAAGTAGCACCGAAGCATTCTACCACTGAAAAAAAACGCAGCACAGGCACGATCCGAGGCGACCATACGGCGTACGGTTGTACCAGTCTCAACGTGATAATTAGTCGCCCGACGTTTGAATAACTTGCACGGAGGAGTGAATACATGGCACACGACCAGCGTGGTTAAAATTGAATAAGGGTGGTGCACAGATCAATGCATTGTGTTGAAGGAGCGGGAGTACATAAACAGCAATAGTGCCAGTGTTTCGTACCACTAACTAGTGATAATGAGTGCGAACAATTAGATTAAGGGGTTAATGTGCGGTCATAGTCACAACGAACGAGATGAGGGGATCTTCTTCTGGAGGTAACGTATGTACTGCGAAGAGAGAGGTGTGAGACATGGGTGACTTTGATGGGAACGAAAATAAAGGGAGGGTCGAAAGCGAGGAAGAGTCAGGAAAAACCAACAACAGAACCAAAACACTGGCGAACCAATGCAAGGTCTTGGAAACAAAACTTCGAGAAAAGAACCAAAGCTCGGTTCTTCTTCTCTTCGCCAACTGAACTGCCTCATTTTCCACGACCACCCCCTACGATCTCTACCAGACAAGGTCCAAACAAAGGCAAAGCCCTAGTGAGTTATCCTCTTCAACGTTGCACCCCTGCCATCCGTCTGGAATTAATTCTTCTCCCCGTGACCGACGTCATTGGAACGTTAACTCAACAGTTCACCACAACGACGGTACCGACCTTCTTATCCTTATCCACCTCTCTTCAGTCTTTCAACGCCACCACCCGTCAAAGTACTAACACATACCCAACGTCCCGCTATAGTGTCAATGGTTTAGCTTTCATCGAGAAAGCTCCGACTAACGTTGAGCTCGTGGGCATCGTTCCTGTAACGCAGTCATTGTTAGCGGTCGAGAATCCAGGCAAGGGCAATAAGTTATTCAC